CGGGTTGGTCCCCTCCAATCAATCCTTTGCTGGAAACCCTCCATCTCACCCATAACAGAATCCCAAATACCTTGCCATGACCCAGAAGTTACTGAGTATAAACTGGCCCAGCTCCCCATCTGCTCACATCTCCTACCCTCGCCCCTGTTCATCCTTTGCAGCACACAGGCCTCCTTGCTGTCCTTACAGACACCCAGCATGTTCCCCCCAGCAGAAGTACAGGTCCTTCCCTTGGCCTAGAATGTTCTTCCCATGCATCTACATGAACCATTTCCTCACTTCATTCAAGCCTCTGCTCAGATGTCATCTAAGCAGAGCACTGCCCTCTCCTCCCTATCTACTCAGAGTCCCCACCACCTGCCATCTCTTTATTCTTCTTCACAGTTCTTCGGAGCACTTGTATATTAACATATAATCATAAAAATCAACATACACATTCACATGTTATATATAAAGTACCCAACGTATCATATATTCCTGTTTATTATCTGTCCACTCCCACAGATGAATGTTTCATGAAAGAGAACATTTTGCCTATTTCATTCCTTGCTGTATCAAGGTCTGGAATGGTGCGTAGCAAATAATTGGCACTTGAGAAATATTTGTAAATAGATGAGTGAGCCTTCTCTTTCTCCAATTCAATATATAATATATTAACTTCCAGGCTGGGCACAGGGGGCTCACACCTCTAATCCCAGCATTCTGGAAGGCTGAGGTGGGAGGATCCCTTAAAGTCAGAAGTTCGAGGCTAGCCTATAGATAGACCCTATCTCTATATATTTTTTTTAATTAACTTCCAAAAGCATACCATGTCCTCAGAGAAATAATAAAAAGCCCTTCCCACCATCCCTCCCCTGAACACCCCCTTGAGAAGGAATGACTTAACTAAGGGTGACAGCTACAGATGCTGAAGATCCAGTGTCTGGATCTCTCCCTGGACCCTGTCTTGCCTCAAGCAGAGCAAGGTCTCTTCCTGGGTTCCTAACCCCATGTGGTACTCTCGTGCCTACAAGGCTGGCGTGGAGACTTGTATTTCTCTGGTAGTTTATTCTGCCAACCACTAAGCTGTAAAGAAGGCCACCCCTTCATAGCTGGAGGGGTGTGTGTGCTCTGCAGATCCCACTTACCCACCCATGTCAGGGAAGGGCAGGGATATGGAGAGGAAAAAGAATGGCTCAGTCTGACGCAACTGATATTTCTCAACTCAATTTTACCAGATACTATATTGGCATATCCATCTGTTGGTTTGAACAAAGAGAAGCAGAGGGTATAATTATACCATAGCTGAAGCCACCTGAAAATTCCCAAAATAGTTATTTATGATATTATGAATAATTTTTTTTTTTTTTTGCGGTGTTTGGTCAGGGCTAGGTTTGACCCCACCAGCTCCGGCATATGGGGCCGGCACCCTACTCCTTGAGCTACAGGAACTGCCCTATTATGAATAATTTTTATGGGAGTTTTCTTCATTGCTTCTGTACTTTACGAGCTTTCTATGCTACAATAGTATGTATCACTTTTATCTTAAGACATAGACAGATTCAAAATAAATGAAAAGAAAGTTTTCAAGAATCTACCAGTCACTAGCAATTGGATCATGAGCCATTTTCATAACTATTCTTGCTAATGTGTTACTGTGCCACTTTCTTTTCCTTTTTTTTTTTTTTTTTTGTGACACAGAGCCTCAAGCTGTCACCCTGGGTAGAATGCCATGGCATCACAGCTCATAGCAACCTCCAACTCCTGGGTTCAAGTGATTCTCCTTCCTCTGCCTCCCAAAGAGCTGGGACTACAGGCTCCTACCACAACACCCAGCTATTTTTTGGTTACAATCATCATTGTTTGGCGTGCCCAGGTGCTTGAGCCATAGGTGCCAAGCCTACTGTGCCACTTTCATGGAATAAAATAATTTCTTTAAAAAGCTACTTTAAAATGTACCAATCCCATGAATTTCATAGCACTAAAATGCAATTTTCAACTTCATTAAGGAAATATTTCTAAGAGTACAAAAATGTGATTTAGAAATACCTTCTTTGTCTTTGAATATTACATATGCAACTCCCTTGGTTCTTGATGGATATATCACATTTTCAACATCTCCACCTTCATTCTTGATATCTTGGAAGTGCCTCTTCACTAATAAGGCCCAAAACTGATGACTAAGAGGGCCATCTGGAACACCAGCCACTACAACCGTTCTTTCAGGAGCTTTGGATACTTTCACATTCAAAACTGACGCCTGTAAGAGACACAGTAGGATACTCTTCAAAAACTTAAGACTGTACTTAATAAAGACAACAACACACTCCAGAGGGAGAGAACGACTTAGGCAATAAAAGTAGTGCAGCTGGTCAGATACTTCAAAAAAGAAGTGTGGGCCGGGTGCAGTGGCTCACGCCGGCAATCCTAGCACTCTGGAAAGGCGAGGCAGGTGGATTGCCTGAGTTCACAGGTCCCAGACCAGCCTGAGCCAGAGAGACGCCCTATCTCTAAAAAACAGCCAAACGATGTGGCAGATGTCTATAGTCCCAGCTACTCAGGAGGCTGAGGCAAAACAATCACGTTAGCCCAGGAGTTTGAGGTTGCTGTGAGCTATGATGCCACAGCTCTACTCTGTCTCAAAAAATGAAAAAAGAACTGTCTGTGGAGGGAGAAAGTAGATCCTTGCCTCACACCACACACCAACAAACATAAATTCTATAAATCTGGAAGTTAAATGTTAAAATGTGGACCCCCTCGTTTTTTAATAAGTGGAATATACTGCTCAATATTTGTCTTATTTTAGGAAGGCCTAAAAATAATGGAAGAAGTTACCACAAAGCTCAAGAGATATAAATTCTGAATTTTTTTTTAAAGTCAAGCTAACCTAGTAGATTAGAGATGGTCATACGTTTTCTTGATGGTAGAGTCTGAAGCACATGAGTCAGATCCCCAACTGTTATTGTCAGAAAAGGGAAAGGTCACCATAACCAATAACACCCCAGCAGGAACACGGGGAGAAGAGTAAAGTACATCCTGCCTTCTAGCCCATATCAGAGATAAAGTTTAACCACAGTGAGTACATGCAATTACATAACCTGTCACCACCATGCTGGGCACAGAGTACCAGCTGCAAATAGCTCCTTCTCTTTGAACTTCTTATATTATCCAGTTTAAAAGCTTCTATTTAAATTCTTTAATTTTTCCTGCAGGTCCACGTAGGAAACTGGACCTATAACCTTCCCCTATTTCTTCTTTTTTCTTTTCTTTTTTTTTTGAGATAGAGTCTCACCATGTCACCCTTGGTACTGTGCCTTGGCGTCATAGCTCACAGCAACCTCAAACTCTTGGGCTTAAGTGATTCTCTTGCCTCAGCCTCCCAGTAGTGGGGACTACAGGTACCCGCCACAACGCCCAGCTATTTTTTGTTGTTGTTGTCATTGGTGTTTAGCAGGCCCAGGCTGGGTTCAAATCCAGCCCCAGTGTATGTGGCCGGCACCCTAACCACTGAGCTATGGGAGCAAAGCCTGTTCCCCAAATTCTTACAGTTAGTCCAGCCTGATTACACCAGAACTCAAACATAAATTACCCAAAGGAGGACAGGATGACTCACGGCTGGAACAATGGTTAATAGACTAAAAAAGAGTTCGGGCTCTCAGTCCAGAGGGCTCTGTATTCAAGAGTGGGACTCCACTGGAGAAATCAAACTACTTCTGACCTCCCAGGTCAACAAGACAGCCTAAGCATAAACATGTCTTGTCTATCCCAAAAGCCCCTTAAAATGAAAGTGAAACAATAAACACTGTTAAGGAGAGCTATCAGCATAGATTTCAACAAATTTCTGGAAGCCTAATAATATTCAGAAGGATAGGAAAGAGCAGAAGGAAGGAGCTAACTCAGAAGAAGAAACAGAAGTTTGCCGTGGAAAGGTGACAACCTGAAGAGTAGAACATCAGAGGTGAAAAAAGAGACCCCAAACAAGGGTTCACTGAAAGGCTACTGATACAGCAACTGCTCCAGTTGTCTCCCCACCTTCCAAATGCTTGCTTACACACACAATCGTGAACACACACAGAGCACACTCAGATGGTGGCAGCTAGGCCAAAACCACAGAGAAAGAATCTGAGGATTATTTTACTTAAAAAAAAAAAAGCCTGAACACTCTAGGGAGAAGTTGACCTGCTAGTTCCAGACCCTAAAACAAATCCTCTCTACTATCTGACATTTAAAGGAACCCCAGCCTCAAAATCATAAACAAACAAAAGTGTGGCATGATTTTGAGTAAATTAAGGATTGCAAAATTAAAAACAACAGAAAGAAAGAAAGAAAGAGGCCGGATATGGTGGCTCACGCCTATAATCCTTGCACTCAGGGAGGCTAAGACAGGAGTTCAAGACTAGCCTGAGCAAGAGTGAAACCTTGTTTCTAAAAATAGCCAGGCACTGTGGCTGTCACCTGCAGTCCCAGCTACTCAGGAGGCTGAGGCAAGAGGATGACTTAAGCCCAAGATTTTGAGGTTGCTGTGAGCTGTGATGCTATCGCACTTCACCCAGGGTGACAAATGAGACCCTGTCTCAAAAAAAAAAAAGAAAAAGGAAAAATGCGGTTTGGCACCCATAGGTCAATGGTTAGGGCACCAGCCCACACACTGGGGATGGTGGATTCGAACCCAGCCAGGGCCTGCTAAACAACAAAAAGCTGGGCGTTGTGCAGGCACCTATAGTCCCAGCTACTAAAGAGGCTGAGGCAAGAGAATTGCTTAAGCCCAAAAGTGTGAGGTTGCTGTTAGCTATGATGCCACAGCACTCTACCAAGGGCAGCATATGAGACTGTAAAGAAAAGAAAAAAAGGAAAGGGAAAGGAAAGAAAAGGCAAAATAAACATATCATTGGACGAAAGGAAAAAAAGAAATCATAGCACACTATTAGGCCCTGCTATAAACAGTATTTACTGTTTACATAATAGTGTAAACACTTTTTTGTTTTTTTGAGACAGAGTCCCACTTTGTCATCCTTGGTAGAGCCGGCAGGTTGGAATGGAGCCCAGCCAGAAAAACAACAATGACAACTTACAGTCAAAATAAGAGCTGGGTGTTGGGGTCAGCACCTGTAGTGCCAGCTACTTGGGAGGCTGAGGCAAGAGAATCGCTTAAGCCTAAGAGTTGGAGGTTGCTGAGAGCTATGAGGCTGTGGCACTCTACCCAGGGCCACAGCTTGAGACTGTCTCAAAAAAAACCCAGAAAGGTGTAATCTTGTTTTGTAAGAACTAATCGTTGTGAATCTTCTAATGAATTTGTATTTTAATGAACAGCCATTATTCTTCTTTAACTTTCATTCACGGGTTGGAGAAAGCATAGCTAACATAGCTAACCTCAGTAGCCACCCTCATAAAGCACAGCTAACATGTCTAACCTCAGTAATTTTACTGAGGTCTATTAGGAACAGTGAGAGCGTTATTAATCTCTTCTATCCATGTTTAAAAACAAAAGGAAATGTCCTAAAGAGTCTTTTCAAGGATTGTGAAACAAGAGCAGTAGGTTAGCCCCGAGATGTTAAGGCGAAGGCACTTTTCCCTGCATCAATGTTACGTTTTAAGAGACTGGCCATTGTATCATCGTAAGTAAGGCACTAGAATAAAATAACTAGAAGATTAATTCACTGCATCGGTTTATATTTCTCTTTTCAAAATCAGTTATTTTCATGGACGACGGCTTCATTTGCATCTCACAGCTGTTTCTGCATTTCCGGGATCTAGCCTTTTAGATAAGAAATTAAAGACCCTGCCAAGCTTTTCAGGTGCTTGATGGGGGACAGGGAGCTAAACACAGAAGGCTCAATCTTGAATTTGCTAGCTCTTCTCCCTAGCCAGCAAGGAGGTGAAAACACAGGGCGCTCTGTGCCTCTGGAACTGAGACCAAAAAAGAGGAGACGCCCCAGTAAGGCAGATAGAAACCGTCAGTCTGGCTCCCTGACCAGGTCCTACGCTGGCTCCTCGCTAGCCCTTTTCAGAAGGAAGCCATGGCCTCCATTTCTGGGAAACCTGTCCACTTTTGCTCACCCGAGGAGTGGGAGGACAATAGTTTAGCCCGAACACAGGCTGCGAAGCGACTCCTCCAAGAAATAGCATGTCCCTGACGCACCGGAGCCGGTGCGGGAGGTGGCAGCCCGAGGCCTGTGACTTGGGAGCGGGAGCGGGGCGACAGGCTCTCCGCGTCCCCGGCCTAGCACACCGCCCCGCCCCGCCCCGCTGTGCCAGCCCCGCTCCGGACCTGTTGCGCCACGCTCTGTGCCCTTCTAGGGGACTGTGGTGACAGCACCGGCCAAACCTGCACTGCAAAACCCAACGCAAAAACAACTTGCCATGGCGGTGACGCGTCCTCGGCCGCTGCAGGAAGCCCGAAGCCGGCGAAGCGCAGGCACTGGGGACGCGGGTGAGCAGGCAGGTTTTGGTTTCGGTTTTTTGTTCCCAGTCCCTTGGAGACCGTTCGACGAAAGGGCGGCCCTTCAGGACCGGGCCCTTGAAAGGGCTGCTGCTAGCGCCCTCACAGACACCCTGGAAAGTTTTGCAAATTTTCAAAGGATGCTGGGGAGGGGTCACGAGGATTCCCCAGCAGGAATTGGGCAATTCTCTGGGCGATGCAACAGTGATTACAATTTTGGTTTTATGTGTTTTGCTGCGCACCAGCAACAGCAGAGTTGAACAGAAAAGCAAAACAAAAAATACAAACAGATAACAGACATAAAAGGTGGTGGCTGCTGTCTGGATGTTGGTAACTAGGGTCCATGCTTTCCATAACCATGACCTTGTGGTTGGAGAAAGCCCGAGGCGTGATGAGAGTGTGGTCATTTTGAATTGCACGCATTATTATATGAAAGTGTTAAGAATCTTGCATAAATTGCTCTCTTCTGTGTTTAGGTATTCTTATGCCACTCTTGCTATGAAGTTGAAGTGTACGTGAAAGAAACCTTTTACTACATGAAACTTTCCAGCGCTTATGGAAACAACTGAATTTGATTTATGCACAGTGTAATATCTCTCCGGGTATTGTTCAGAATTTCCCACAGACAAGGCTTTCATCCACGTTAAATGTTGGCCTCAACCTAACCATCAGGGACTGTTCTACTAAACAGCAGCCAGATTTTTGCATCTAGTGACCTGACTTTCTAGTTAGAACATATTCTCTACTGATGTAATTGAAACCCACGTCTACTTTATAACAGAGGTTTTTTTGCAACAGCAATCAAATTTTTTCTTTTAAAAAGCAGCAACACCAAATCTGCAGTCAGTGGAATCTGGATGCCTTTCCTGTGCCTTTATTTTCTCCCCACTTTCTGCCCCTTGGCCTGCTCCACACCTGTGGCTTCTCCTCCGCTCACTCCAGCCCCTACCCACTCCTCACCTTCTCAGCCCAGCTCAGGAGGCCTTGCAAGCCTCATCTGGGTGCACAGAGCACAAGATGAAAAGCTGACATCCCTGCCAACAGAGAACTCGCCTTGTTGGATATAGAAGCTTCAACATCAAATCAAAGAATGCATAAAGAAGAAAGGCAAGGCTGGCAGGTATGAAGAGGCTCAACCCACTCAAAGTAATCATAAGAGAAGCCATTTTTAAATCCATAATGAAATCATAATGAGAAGCCATTTTTCCTGGATTAGATTGGTAAAATTGAAAATTGTGATAATACCCAGTGCAAACCTGAGTGTTGGAAAGTGTCAGCATTGCTCCAAGCATAGATAGGTGCAAAGCATTTCTAAGGATTTTGGCCCCTTTCAAACTGTAAAGTG